GGGAAAAAAAAAAAAAAAAAAAAAAAAAATAAAAAAAAAAAAAAAGATAAGCCAATTGCTAAATACTCCTGCTTCACCAATCCTTGAACTTCACAATTCCTAAAACCCAATAAAAGATGAGCAGTTGGGCCAAGCCCGTGGCGCACTCGGGAGAGTGCGGCGCTGGGAGCGCAGCGACGCTCCCACCGCGGGTTTGGATCCTATATAGGAATGGCCGGTGCGCTCACTGGCTGAGCGTGGTGTGGGCGACACCATGCCAAGGGTTGCGATCCCCTTACTGGTCACGAAAAAGACAAAAAAAAAAAAAAAGATGAGCAGTTTGTTTCACTCAGAGATATTATGTCCTACAATCATAACTCTCACTTGTATAATGTACAATAATTTGAGCATTTTCTTCAAATATTGAGTGGTGCCATCTTCAAGATAATTAAAAGGCAAAATTAAATCAAAAAAAGAAAAGACAAATATTAAAAATGGAGCGAGGATATTCTCTAAAAATTTAAAACAAACTGAAACTAATAACCCATTGCGTACCAAGTTTGTGGCATAATCACATAGAAAATAATTAAAGTGGCTTTAAAATATAGTATTTTGCCAGTGGGATATATCTTAAGGAATAAAAGAACCACAAAGAAATCTTAAAACTGCATTCAGTAGTGTTACAGTTGGAAGTAATATCAATACTGATATTTAAAAACTATTATAAATATATTGCAGGACACAGAAAATAAGTATATTAAGTCATTAGGAGTCAAAATTTCAGTATAAAAAGAAATAAATATAAAAATCAAAAAGGTTAGGTAAAAATTCTGAACTCTTATGTTAAAGAAAACATGAAAACATTATGACCTTCATTTAAACGTATGTTTTACAACTCTAACCACTGAGAAATCCTAAAAAGCAATGCAACCGAGTAGCATTCCTTACCCCTAGAATCCAGATTGAGGTTTCAAAATACCATTTCCTTCAGAAAAAGAAACAAGGCTCCTTGGAGAAATTACCAAGACTGGGACACAAAATGTAAAAGATGAGCCTAGAATCTTGCTGTTGCTTAAAAGGAGGAACATACCAAAGACTATGGACATATCCAGGTTTTATGAGGCCTGAAGCTTATACCAGCCTACCTTCTTTTTTAATGTCTTACTTTTGCTAATTTTACAAAATCATATCACTAATTGCTTCAGTCTTGGTCCCAAAGCCTTGAAAAAAGCACATGGCAAATAAAGAACCAGGAAGCTTAACTTTCATTATCTTCATGGTATGTAAATCCACCACCTGTGTCCTAGATAATGGGGACAAGTCAAAAGGACACAGGAGCCAACTGGAAGAGGCTAGCTCTGGTTAAAGGTGGGAAAATTTGAGCATCAAAAAAAAAAAATGATTGCAACGAATTGAAACATAACAAGTATATAAAAACCTGAGTTCATAACAACACTCAAAAAAAAAAAAAAGAAGAGAGAGAGAAAGTCCCAACTAATAAGACATTATAAACAATTGTTAGGGCACCAGAACTCAGTACTCTGAGTATAAATAAAAGGAAAATAAATCAATCACTTATCCCACCTTTTGTGTATTAACTGCACTTCAAGGAAACTAAGAAATTGATGATAGTAAAATTTAAAATGCAGCATTTTGTTGCATCTAATGAAATGATACAGGCAATGATTATATTAGTGGCTGCTAAAACTCTTAGGTGAAAGGGTAGTTAACATAGAACTTTATAGTGGATAGATGAGACTGATACTATTTAGGCTAATCAAACTTAACATAACTAAAAGATCTGACAATAAACAGCATACCATTGACTTTGGGAACTGAACTAATGCTTAGACCCCAAGGCCCAGGTCTGATTGGCTACTTAGTGATGCACATCTGCAACAGATCTGAATATCCCTGCAAAGGCTTTGAAAACTGAAATAATATTAAAACCAAAACACATGGTGGCTAGTCAGAACTTGCAACCTGAATTACTTATAGGGGAAAAATGATTTAATTGACTGTGGATTTCTCATCAGAAAGAATTGCCAAAGAAAGCTCTTCTGAGAAAAGGGAAATTACAACAGAGGAAATTTTGGAATAACAGGAATGAAATTTTGGAGTAACAGGGAAAGCAACAGAAACTAATCTTCTCTTGAGTTGTTTAAAATAAGTTTGACAGTTAAAAGCAAAAATTAAAATGCTGTCTGAGGAGATTTTCAATGTATATAGATATAACTCATAATACTACTCCAACAGAAAAAGGTAAAATGGTAAAGGAACTTATGTGTTGATACTTAGATTTCTGCATTCCACTTGAAATGGTAATACAATAATTCTAAGTAGACTGTAAAAAGTTAAGCAGGTATATTTTAAAGCCTAGCACAACCACTTTAAAAGCTATACAAAGAGAGATAATTAAAAGCAAAAAAATAAAATAAAGTAAAATACAAAACATGTTAAGATAATTCTAATAGATCTGCAACATAACCCATGCCACTTTAGACAAGCCCAAGTACAAATGGTGCCGCCCACCTCCTCCCCTCCCGCCTTCCCTTTAGGAGAAGCCTCCTGACTTAAACAGAAACCCCTTTTGTTTCTGCAAGGACACAGTTCTCCACCCCAATCCACATTAGCATAATGACCCTCCTTGATGGTATCAGCCAGCCCTTGGCACACTATATAAGCTCTACCACCCCCACACCTGGTGCTGTCCACCATTTTCAGGGCAGCCCAGGGCCCTGTGCCATTCTGAGCACAGCCCAGCAGATTTCCTTCTTTAATAAAGCTTGAACGTTACCCAGCATCTCAGCTCACTTTCTTTCAAATTCAAAAGAAGGTAGAAAAGAGAAACAAAAGAGCAAAATTAGAGGGATAAACATAAAACAAATAATGGCTGACTTAAATCCACATGTCAGTAATTATATTAAATACAAATGGCCCAAACACTGAAAAGACAGATCAGCAGGATGAATACGAGCCTACAAGAAAATCACTTCAAAAATAATGACACATGTACGTTAAAAGCAAAGGGATGGGAAAAGA